CATTCCTTAGCTTTATTTTACAGTAAAACTCCGCGAGTTCAATCTCAAAACTCAAATGAGTTCAGATCTCATTTGTACCTTGCATTTGATGTGATTAATTAAGAGCATTTTTCTTTTGCTTGCTTGTTTTTTAATTTAGAGATTCTCTTAACTCTTGACAAAGGCCAACTTTCAAAAAGAGCCCTGTTTGTTTCTAAATAATTCTTGGCTCCCTCCTCCAAACTGAAGAATGCTGTGGGTGAGGAGCCATGTGGCAATAAGATTTCTGGCACTTAAAAAATGCACCTGAAAAAAATTTTAAAACATTCTCCTATTATGGACCATTCCCAAGTGTAATTGGTCATTGGACTTTTGTTGACATCCTTAAGGATGCTGATGTTCTGTAGAAAAAAGAAAGTGTGGGCTTCTGTAAAGTTTAGAGCTTTGGTTGTGACACTGTTGGAGAGAGGAGATGGGTGGAGATCTCTGTGGCTGGTGTGACTCACATACTGCAAAGTTACAAAGTCAATTCAGGATCTTAAATGGAATCACTTATAAGATCTTTTCCTCAATATATTTGCTTAGTACTTATCACTCCAGCGACTCAACTTTCTCAGGAGTGAACAGCCAGAGCAGAAAAGTATTTGGAGAAGACAGCAGAACATACTTCTCAAATTTCTTCACTTCCTCTAAAGAAGACAGTTTATTAGCAAGGCTTTGGCTTGATTTTCCAGACTTAACACTCATAAAATAAGTCATTATTTTTACAGCTCAGTTGTTTCATCTGAGTTGCTAGACTGGTGATGGTAGTAAGAGCTGTTGCTCAGCTGTTTAGGACATAACATGCAATTTCTCTGAAAAGGCCCTGGTCTTGGTTTTATTCAGGGATGAAATTTATTGGGCCTGCTCTAATTGGTGTTTGTTTCTTTTTTTCTTCTTTTTTTTTTTTTTACGAATAGTTTATTGTCAAATTAGTTTCCACATAACACTCAGTGCTCATCCCCACAAGTGTCCTCTTCCATGCCCATCCCCCCTCCCCCCCACATCCATCAGTCCTCAGTTTTTGTCAGCATTCAAGAGTCTCTCATGGTTTGCCTCTCTCCCTTTCCCCCACCATTTCTGCCCTTCTCCCCCTTGTTCCTCGGTCAAGTTCCTCCTAATCCTCCTATACGTGCAAACATATGTTATTTGTCCTTCTCTGCCTGACTTATTTCGCTCAGCATAACACCCTCAAGGTCCATCCATGTGGCTACACATGGCCAGATTTCATTGTTTCTCATTGCCATGTAGTATTCCATGGTATAGATAAACTGCATCTTCTTGATCCATTCATCTGATGGTGTTTGTTTCTTAAAGGGAAGATATAATCTTGTCCATTTTCCAGACTCTCTTCCACCCTCAGTTGTGATTTTCTCTTAGCCCCTTTCCTGACAGGTCAGTCTTCCAAACCCACTCCTTTAGTTGGCTCCAGAGCTTCAAGGTGGGCCTGCCAATTCCAGAATGCTCTTCTGTCTACCTGGTCTCTGTGGAATAGCTGGTTTGGCTGAAGGTAACATGCATATGCAACATGACAGAGGATCGATGCTACATAGATATGTATTCATTTTCAAGTATAAACAAAGTCTGGTAAGAAGTGGTCCATCTACATGGCAGCTTTGTCCCTATGTTCTCAGAGACACAGGCTCTTCTAGCTCACCACTCTTCTCTCCCTAACCATGACCTACAGTTTTTTTAGCCTTTGGCCATTCGTTCATTCCAGACTGCAGTAAGAAGGAGGTGAGAGTCCAGGGTACCTCCCAACTGTCACTTAAAGAAGGGGGCCTGGAAGCTGCCACATGACTTTTCCCCTTAATCCCAGTGGCCAGAACTTAGTCGCATGACCACACCAAGCCACAGGGAAGTCTTGTGCCAAGTTGAAAATTGTGTTTTTACAGAAGAGGGGTGGACTTGATTTGGGGACACATCCAGCAGTGTCTGCTGCAGCCAAGAAATTAGTTTTCCTTTGTGATTTATAATTTATTCTAATGCTAGCTCAGAAAATATTTTTGATAAAGGCAGTATGTCTGGGGCAGGATTCAGGCTCACCTGGTTTGAAAAAGAATTACTTACTTGGGTATAATTTATATTTGGATGTTCCTAAAATCTCTATTCACATTATGAGAGTTATATTAAGATTATTATCTTAATTACCTTCTCTCCTAAAGTGCCTATTTCATCATTAGAAATGTGACATTATTCTATGTTTTGAGAAAAGTTATAGAACTCAACTTACAGCCTTTTCATGAAGTAATAATAACAGCTCTCCAATGGAAAATGGAATCTTGAAATATTGAGGTCTGCAATAATACCCTTGGAATGTGCCAGAGTTCAGAGCAAGGAATGATTAAATCGAGGAGGATTTAAAACATGGGCATTCTGGTCGGTGGGTACTGTTGGTCTCTTTCTACAGCTCTGATAAAAAGCTGTCTTGCAGGGGTGGCTGGGAGGCTGAGTTGGTTAGGCGTCTGACTTCGGCTCAGGTCATGATCTCACGGTTCATGGGCTCGAGCCCCGTGTCGGGCTCTGTGCTGACAGCTGGCTCAGAGCCTGAAGCCTGCTTCAGATTCTGTATCTCTCCCTCTCTCTGACCCTCCCCTGCTCATGCTGTCTCTCTCTCTCAGAAATAAATAAAAAAAACATTTTAAAAATAAAAAAAAAGAGAAGCTTGCAAATGGTACTCCCACCTTGCCCATTCAGGGGGCAACAGAGCTCCAAAACCAAAAATGGGACTCTTCTCTAGACTCCTTTGTTATTTCAGAGCTACCAACAATAGGACAAAGTTTGCCCAAGGCCAATATGCAACTATTTATTGCTGCTGCAATTTGGGTCCATAGTAGAACCTGATGAGAATGAATTGATCCTCATTTGCTCAGTAACATTTTACTGAGGGTCCATGATGTGTCAGATGATGTCCTAGAATTTGGAAAACAGCAGCATGCAGTCATTTGCCACTTTGATTACTGACCCATGCTCCGATGTTCCCCTACGCTGCTGCAAACAACATTTTTCAGGTTTCTTTGCCAAAAGGCTCCTGGTTAGGTTTCAACCAATGGGAGGAAGTCAGTGGGAGAGGACCAGAAAGCCTGAGTATTTCTTATTCACTCTCTTCTCTTGGTAACTATTCTTATTCTGAGATACAGACCCAGGTAGACCCCATGGCTTGACCTGACCATTGTGAACTGGGTGCTCTCTGATATAACAAGACATGAGCTTGCCTGCGTGTGACAGTACTACATCATCAGGTGAAAGTAGTAAACATGATCAGGCTCCAGAAGCTCAAGAAAACACAAATAAGGTGTATGGACAAGTGATTCAGGTCTCCAGGGCATTTACTTCTGTGGCTTTGCCACCCCTGCTTCTAGGTAGTCCTATGGAGTCCTTAATGGAGAGTTTCCTATGACTAGTTGATGGAGGTGGTTGAACTTGGACCTGGCAAATTGATGGGTCTGCATGGTACCCTGACAATAGCTGAAAGTGGACTGTTTCTGTTTTATAGCTCCTTTTACAAATGATGAAGGGAATTCTCCAAGTGAGTAGAACTTCCTGCAATATCTGGTTACTTACTTCATAAAGAAGGAGATATGGCCATAAGTTTGTGTCTATGCTAATTCATGGTAGCAGCTTAGTGTTTGGCTGGTTAGTCAAGGACTGGGAATGAATGAGACTGCAATATTGGTGACAAGAAAGTCTGGAGAAGAGCAATGTGAATGGAATTCATGGAAAGACAGAGTGTGAATATATATAGGGTACCCACTGAGGTGGAAGTCTCCAATAATCAAGAGAACAAGGTGGCCTACTCTATGCATGTCAGTTGGCCTCTTCTTCAAAGCCACTTCAAAGTGGCTATAGCAGCAGTGACAAAACCCATTCATAGACTCATCTGAGTGGACTTCCACTCACCAAGGCTGACCTGGCTACTGCCACTAGTGAGTGCCCAAGCTGGAGCTGGAGGCTCAGTCCTATGCAATATCATGCCAGGCTGATGACACCAAACTCTTTCCATATAAAGGAGATATCCATCCTGGAAATTGATTTATCTTCCATTCCCCCAGAGTTTCTGTCAAATGCCACATTCACCATCATGGTATCCCATTTAATCATCCTATTGACCAAGAGTTCATCTTATAGTGAGAGAGGTTGACTTAGTCTCAGCATAGATTTCAGTGTCTTACTATATAACCCTGCTTCCTATAGGATAAGGCATATGCTCTGAACAGTAGTAGAGGCATGATATTCTTTCTGCCTTAGCCAGAATACACAGGTCTAGGAATTGAGGGTGGAGTGGAAGCACTTCTTCTCACTATTACATTAAATAGCCCACTTATAGTATTCCCCCCCCCGCCCCCATATCAGCAACTATGGTTTAGAGGTCTGAATTCCCAAAGGAGGGATGTTTCTGTCAGCGGACACTGTAATGAATCGATTGGACTGGGAGTTGAAAAGTGCACCCAGATATTTTGGGGCTCCTTGTGGTACTTACAGCAGGTGAAGAAGAGAATCCAGATTTCACCCAGGAGACGTTGGGTTGGGGGCTATACCGTGGGGGCAGGGAGGACTATGCTGGGAATCCCCAGAGATTTGTGGCTTGCTTTGCAGAAAGAGATGAGAGTGTTTTGGTTTGTATGAAGACCTGGACCTGCTGTCGTGTGGAAGGTCATCCTGGGTACAAGGGTGAGAATAAATGCTAAGTAGCTGAAGTGACTACCTGAGTCGTTTTTTTGCTGGTTTTCTTTCAGATTCAGTCCGTGCCCTTCTCTGGCTTTTTGCTAGGTATCTTCTAGTTAGACTTGGTCATGGTGAGGGGAGCCACTGGTGGAAGATTGGAGAGTAATCCCACCATAGTTACCTTTCCCTCCAGGTAGACTCACTCCTGGGTTCAGACAGCATATCATTTCCTTTCATCTTCCCAGCCTGGGATGGGTGTGGCTTCCTGCTGGTACTAATTTCTGGTTTGTCTTCCCTCCTCCTGTTTGCTCTTTTAGCTCTTCTAACAACTTGGAGGATGGTTCCTGTTTCAAATTCCTTCCATTGAACTTTCTGGCATGGCCTTCATGTTTCTCATAGCCCAGTGAGTGAGATACTGAAAAACAGACAATTACAAAGGAATGTGATAATTGGTACTAAAGAAGTAAGCATGGTGTCTAATGGAGAAGCCATGGAGAGATGTCTAATATCTTCTTTGGGATTAAGCAGAACAAATAAACAAATCCAAGAAAGGGACCTCCCACCTGTCATAATGGCTAAAATTACCAACTCAGGAAATTACCAAACCAATGTTGGTGAGGATGTAGAGAAAGGGGAACACTTTTGCACTGTGGGTGGGAATGCAAACTGGGGCAGCCAATCTGGTAACACTGTGGAGGTTCCTCAAAAAATTAAAAATAGAACTACTCTATGACCCAGCAATTGCACTACTAGGCATTTATCCAAAGGATACAAAAATGCTGATTCAAAGGGACACATTCACCCCAATGTTTATAACAGCACTATCAACAACAGCCAAATTATGGAAAGAGTCCAAATGTCCAATGACTGATGAATGGATAAAGATGGTGGTATAAAAATATAGAATGGAATATGACTCAGTGATCAAAAAGAATGGCTAGCCATTTTCAACAATGTGGATGGAATTAGACTGAGCAAAATAAATCAGTCAGAGAAAGACAAATATATGATTTCATTCGTATGTGGAATTTAAGAAGCAAAACAGATGGACATAGGGAAATAGAAGGAAAAATAAAATAAAAACAGAGAGGAAGACAAACTGTAAGAGACTCTTAAATACAGAGAACAAACTGAGAGTTGATGGCAAGGTGTTGGGTAGGGGGGTGGGCTAAATGGGCGATGGGCATTAAGGAAGGCACTTGTTGGGATGGGCACTGGGTGTCGTATATAAGTGAAAAATCATAAATTATACTCCTGAAACCATTATTACACTATATGTTATCTAATTTGAATTTAAATAAGATTTTTTTTTTTAATTAAGAAAGAAGGCTTCCTGGAAGTGGTAATATCTAAACTAATCTTTAAAGGACTAAGAAACCACTTGAGATGTGGGCAGTGGATCTCATGGGGGCACAGGAGGGGAAGCTGGGTGATTGAGGGAAATGTCTAACACCTGGAGGTTTTACCTTTCACCAGTGTATCAAAGAAGACCCCGCTCTGCTCTTCATGAAGCATAGAAATAATGTCATGACTTAATGTTGCATGGTTTATATTTGGCCAGTAGAAAAATACAATTTGAAGTCAAATTCAGCAGATATTTTGTGTTCCTATTGACTGAAAAAATATTCTTGCCTCATTTTCTTGAATAAAACACTGTTGAAAATTTGTGGGCTCTTGGTTTAGCAGTGTATGGTCCTCCTTTGAAGATAGATTATAGTTGTAAAATAGTATTTGGGGTGCAGCAGTAAAAGACGTATTTTATTATGGGCACTCCTCAGCCACAATAGACACACAGACACACACACACACACACACACACACACACAACCTTTTTAGTGGCCAGTATTGATGAGAAGGTCTATTGTATTAGAGAAGGGGAAGTTATCGAGGTTATTTGGAAGAAATCAAATGAATTGAGAAAATTAAGGAGGATGTAGAGTTCCTTGAGACCTTGCGGGGAAAGACAAAATAAAGGAGTGGAAATGGCAAGAATGTTTACATTCTTGGGGAGACCAGAGTGAGGGAAGGCAAGGGCATAGCTGGAGCCAGACCAGATCAAGCAGAAGTTCAAGCTGAGGCTGAACAGAGAATGCAGGCGCCTGCTTACTTCGATAACGGCACACTTCTGCTAATGGTACTCACATGAGAAAAATCTTGCAAAAATAACCAGAAGAGGCACAGTCCTGTGTGAGCCAATGTGGCCCACCTGGAGTAAGTCTGAAGAGGCATCTGGGAAGGATTGTGTTGTATACAATGGATAAGATGATGAAGGAAAATTCTCGGCTCTGTATTAAGTAACTTGAACACCTGCTTATGAATTTCTGGGCACTTCTTCATGTTGTATTCTCTGCTCAATTTTGTCTTGGTTAGTGTGAAGAATAAACTCTGATTATTATGGTTATGACTTGCTGGATGTCTATTATTTCCCAGAAACTGTACCAGAAACTTTGTGTAAGTCATGTAATTACGTTTTCCAACCTGCATATCAATTAAATGTTATGATGATTATTTTATAGATGGAGGAAATGGGACTGAAAGCAATGAATAAACTGCCAAGATCTGACAGGAAGTAGCAGAAATAAAACCCATATCAACCTGATTCCCAAGCCCTTGCTCTTTCAACTATTTGACTGAGTTGATCACACGTATACACACAAATTATTCTATTTGTTTAGGCTGTTTCACTACCTGTTTTGATTTATCTGTGACACAATCTAATCAAATGAGTAAGAGTAAGTGATTTAGAAAGAATTTGAGGAAGAAGGATTCAATCCAAATAGTTGACACATGACTGATGATTAGATTATTCTGTCAGTGTTTAAAATGTTTTTTAAGTTTATTTATTTTGAGAGCATGAGCAGGGGAGGGGCAGAGAAAGAAGGAGAGAGAGAGAATCTCAGGCAGACTCTGCGATGTCAGCACGGAGCCTGATGTGGGGTTCGAACTCAAGAACTATGAACGGGAGGGCACTTGTTGGGATGAACACTGAGTGTTATATGTAAACCAACTTGAAAATAAACTATTTAGGAAAAAAAAAAAAAAAAGAACCATGGATCATGACCTGAGCCGAAACCAAGAGTTGGCCACTTAACTGACTGAACCACCCTGGTACTCCAGTTCTGACAGTGCTAAAAAACATGTGTGGGGGGCACCAGGGTAGCTCAGTCAGCTAAGCATCTGACTCTTAAATATAGGTCAGGTCATGATCTCATGGTTTGTGGGAGCCCCGCATTAGGCGCTGTGCTGACAGCTTGGAGCCTGCTTCAGATTCTCTCTCCCTCTCCCACTCACTCCCACTCACACACACACACTCTCTCTCTCTCTCTCTCTCTCAAATAAATAACCCTTAAAAAATATGTGTAAGAATAAAATTAATACTGACATCAAATGTCATCGTACAAAAGATGTTCAATTCTTCATATACAACCTTGGAAACAGCTATTGATAAAGAAAAGATCCATTTGCCTAGAAAAATTTGGGATGGTGACAATCTACAGTCATTCCCAAGATGAATGTCCATTTTACCCCAGGCTTCTGGCCATGCTCACCTGGTACCAGGAATAAAGATATCTGTCCTCCAATATACGATCTTTAATAGGTATTCAGAACATGTAAGAGTGCAGAGATCCAGGCCAGCAGACTTGAGTTGTATGGATGACAACTCTTTTTATTTATTTTTTTATTAAAATTTTTTTAAATGTTTATTTATTTTTGAGACAGAGAGAGAGAGAGACAGAACACCAGTGGGGGAGGAGCAGAGAGAGAGGGAGACACAGAATCCAAGGCAGGCTCCAGGCTCTGAGCTGTCAGCACAGAGCCTGACACGGGGCTTGAACCCACAAACTGTGAGATCATGACCTGAGTTGAAGTTGGACACTCAACCAACAGAGCCACCTAGGCACCCCAGATGACAACTCTTTACAGAGAAAAGAATCAACCAATGTCAACAGCAAAGGTTTCTAGAAGCTGCTGCAATGCCACGTAAGCTGACCCAGTGAAGGCCTAGAGCACTCAGGAACAAAATATTGGGTTACTTCCTGGGCCAGGAATCCCTGTCAGCTGAGTTTCTGGCTATAGGGAGGCATCAGCAGGAGGCAAGGGTCTCTAAGGAAGTCAGAAATGTCAGCTAGACTGTCACCATCGGTTTCAGCAACAAAGGCCAAAATCTACTGGCATTTCTTTGTTTACAACATGTCCACAAAGTATCTCTATTAATCTTTAGTTAGATTTCTTAAACTTTCTTTCCCTTCATAGGGTATGTAGTTGCAGAATACCAAGACAGAATTACTATAAATCAATAATACAAATGGAGAACCTGGATTCAGAAAAATGTAGTCTCATGACATTGTCCCTTGCTTGGTAGCTGGGTATAAATTATATATGGAATAATTACTTGTAGCTGTATGGAACCATCTATGGACATGTGGGGGAAAGGGTATGGGTATACACACACCCACACCCACACCTACACACATCCCCCAAACACACACACCTCAGGCAGCCAAGGGATGGAATAGAGGAGACACAATCTAGGACATTTGCCCAGCTCCTAATGATTTCCCCAATGCCATGCCGGCATGATATACTCTGTCCCCTAGGCATGGCTATTTGTTCCAAGAATAGAGATACCTGACCCAAGTTGAGTCAATTAGATTCTCTCTCCTAGCAGTTTGAAAACCTGAACGGAGACACATGGAGATAGAAAGTGGCTGGAATTGCATAGCGCAGAGCAATGCTGTATAATGCAGGTCTCCAGTCCCCAGCTGCAGAAGGTCCCAGAATTTCTATGCTGCAGTCTTCCCAAAGCCAAATTGTTCAGCTCTTTCTTTTCTTCTATGACCATCTTCAATGTCTTTGTAATATGTCCTTGGCTTGAAATAATTTTAAAAAATAAGAAAAAATAGGGCAAAGTGTTTGCTCTTAAACAGAACCGAGAGAGCTGATGAAAATGTATGCATTTGTTTGGAGGGCTGAGTTCCTGTAGCACAGGAAGGAGAGGGGTATATGCTCGGGAGGTGTGTATTTCAGGTGCAGCTAGTCCAATAGTATCTGGAAGTAGATTTGGCCCTTATCATCCACATTGCTCATGGACCCCTTTCTTTTCTGAACACCAGTTCTTTAAACTTGGCTCTCCTTTGTATCACTGAGAATTGATTTTGGCTGTAACCAAAAGTAAAACAAAACAAAATGACCTGGAATAAAATAAAATAGCATAAGCAAGTGGGGGGTTAGTATGTCTTTCAGAAGAAGTACAAAGGCAGCTTCTGATGCCATTAGAGCCCAGGCCACTTCTGTGTTCTTGTTGCACTTACCCACTCCCGCGGCTCTCAAATCGTGATTGCAAAATGACTGTGAGGGCTCTAGTCATCGGGCCAGCATGATCAGCATAAGAAGAATTAAAGGCAAGAGATGGCACCACCAGATTTCTGCTGATTTCTGAATGGCTAGAACTCTGTTGTATGGCCCACTAGCTATACGAAGTCTGGAAAACTAATTTCTTTTCTCTTCTAATAAAAAGTTTTTAATGTTACTTATTTTTTTTTTAGAGGGAGAGA